GTCCAATAGCTGCGTGTGAAGGACAAGAACCGAGTTAGGTCCAATAGCTGCGTGTGAAGGACCAGCGTCCATTAGCTGCGTGTGAAGGACAAAATCAATAGGTCTAATAACTTCGGGTTGTGTCCGAAGAAATTTCCTTCTTCTGGTTACCTAGCTTTACATGATATAGTACAAGAGGATAAACAAACTTGAGTTCACTTATGAATTAATTTCCTAGTCAATTACAATTATGGTATTTCGGCAGAGGTGTTACGATCTTATTAATACGCGATTAATATTATTAGATGTTTATAGTGTGTACGCTTATCTGTAAATTATTATTTTTATGGTTATGGTTAGCTCACCCTACTTGTGTGACTACGATGATCGTATAACGCGTATCGTTATACGGGAGTAGATGATGTTCCAGGTGAAGCTGAAGAAGTTTAGAACGAGGAGCGTGTTGGGAAAATTACATGGAAATTTTAAAGTGCGAAAATAAATTGTTGTGAAGTATTGTACTTTAAGCAGACTTTTAATTTGTTATGGTTTGTAATTTTAAAACAACTTTTAATATTCGGTTTGTAAATCTAATAATTACTCGCTAATACTTTGATGTATTTTTCAGTAATAATGTTAAATGTTGTGCCTTTAAAAGTAAACAATTATTTTGAAAAATTTTCTGTGACATTCCGAGAAGGGGTGTTACACATACATTCATAAGAAAAACCCAAGACAAATATTACATAAACCCTATGCCCATGCATATACATAAACCGTTGCCCGACAAGAGCAACATACAACCATAATCATAATCATATAAACATATATAAACAAGGATTATTAATCAAATAACCAAGAACACATATATCATACAACAATTAACAAACAAAGGTAAGTTTCCCATACATTGGCCAAACCTAGGGCTTTATCTAACTTCAAAAATACCACAAGTCTTGCCTTGCACTAGGTTTTTCTGTAACTCTTCATCTTCTCTCCTAGAAACGTCTCTTATCTCCCTTAACTCTCAAATTTTCGTTTTTGGATTTTAGGGTATCAATATGCAACCCCTTTTACTCTTCTCCATTTTATCCTTTTCTATTCTATTTCTATCTTTTTAAATAAAAATAATATCTTTCACTTAATCTATAAAACCACAAAGATTTCCTTTCTTATTTTATTTTATCTAATATTTAAACTATCACCAACCACCCAATAGCTCAAAGATTCACATAATCTTTCTATTTTGTTTTAGATTTTATTTTTATTCCTTTTGTTTCTACACCCTCCTTATTTAATGTACACATCACTTAACGAAAGTATAAGACTTTTTTATCCTTGGGTCCCAAAATACAAATTAAACTCAAAAGTTTACTTTAACTCTCTTTCTTTCTAAAATTTGGCCCACACTTATTAAATCTCAAATCACCATTCTACCATCAATCCAACACATCATATTGATAACACACACCACATAAATCATCATGATAAACAACATACCAACCATGTGTTCTACTTAATCAATAATAACATTAAATAATAATATAATAATTATAATTGTAGAAAAACATAACATAATCCAACAATAATTACGAATAATAATGTCCAAGTCTCATAATCATATTATTTCCTAATTATCACATTTTCCTAGGATCTTACAAGTGTTAAGATTTGTAATTGATTCACTGTATAGTAAATTACCAAATATAAGTTTATTTACTCCATTAGCTAATTTTCAGAATTAGTTACTGGGATTAACTTAATTATAAGGATTAGCTTAATTATAAGAATTGAGCAATTTTTGTTTCTAAAGATATATTCTGTCTACTGCTGTACATATATACCTACTTTTTGTAATCATAAAAAAATATGTTTTTGAATGTCATTTCACAATTTAAAAAAAAACACCTTGAGCTCCTTCATTATAACTTTGCTTCCTCTTTCTTCCACCTCTCCTGCGTAACGACACTGGACCACTCTTCGGTGCCTGATATTTTAATTTTTATTTGTTCATGTTGTATTTTTCCTTTTAAGTACTTTCATCAACAATATTGTTCTCTAATAAGATTTATCTGAAATACATGTTGGAATTAAGCCGAGTTTGGTAGTTAGTTGGTCAGGACAGTTATTGATTAACTGTCCAGTTGTTTTTCATTTTATAAATATTGAACCTCTGTTCTTGTAAAGCATCTTTTTCTGAGATCAGTGAATAATACATTTTCTGTGCGTTTGAGTTTTACTCTCTTTCTCTGTCTGTTCATCTCCTTGATCGTTCGGTGTAAAGGTCTTAAACCGATCGGTTTTGTTCGTGTTCTTGTTGGGTCGTTCGGTCATCTACGTTGCAGAGTGTTTGGCTAGGGACGTTCGTTCTCCAGTCGCATACGACACTCATACCGTTCGGTTGTGACGCTAAGTGCAAATCCTTGGTTTTCCTTCTTTTTCCTAACAGTGGTATCCAGAGCTTCAGGTTCGTGATTGGGAGCTTCGTATTCATCTAGGGCTTGGCGGAAGCTTGTCAGAAAAGTGATTGAAGCATAAAGAAGATCAAGAGTGTGTTTCTTGGTTAAAGATCTAGGGTGTAAAGAATGGCCAACAGAGATATGTCTGTTAATCTACCTGTTCTCACAGACAAGAACTGGAGCAGATGGAGCACACAAATGCGTATCTTGTTTCATGTTCAAGATGTCAACAGCGTAATGGAGGGAGCAGTTTCTGCGTCTGATTTGCGCGGCACTGAGAAAGAGGAGTTTAAGAGGAAAGATGATAGAGCCTTGTTGATTATCCATCAGTGTGTGGACGATAAGCATTTTGAGAAGATACAAAATGTGGCTTCAGCAAGAGAAGCATGGAACATCTTGGTGGGCTATCATGCCGGAGGGGAAAAAGTGAAGAATGTAAAGCTTCAGTCGTTGAGGAGACAGTACGAGCACCTACTGATGGAGGATGTTGATAAGGTGAGTGAGTTTTTCAGTAAAATACTCTCTATTGTTAACCAGATGAAAAGCTGTGGTGACACTGTTACTGATCTCATGGTGATTGAGAAAATCATGCGGTCACTGCCCTCGACATTTGATCATATTGTGGTGGCAATAGAGGAGTCGAGAGACCTTGGAAAACTCAAAATAGATGAACTACAAAGCTCTTTGGAGGCGTATGAAATGAGGATGCGTGAAAGAAATCCCATCAAACGCGAGGAGCAGGTTTTGAAGGCTCAACATGTAGAGAAGAAGGCATTCAAGAAATGGAAAGGGAAGAATGGTAAAGGGAAGTGGAGAAAAGATAGGAACAAAGATGATCATAATGAGTCTTCAACAGAGGATGAAGGCAAATCTTAGAAGAATTTCCAGAAGAAAGACAAAAGGAATATTGAGTGTTTTAATTGTCATAGGTATGGGCATTACGCTACTGAGTGTTATGCTGAAAAGAAAGAGCAGAAAAAGGATCAAGGAAAGGAGGCCTATGCAGCTCAAGTGGAGTCTGATTCAGAACCAATCATATTGATGACAACTACATCTGAAGTAAGTTCACCCTCTCAAGATAAATCGTGGTATTTGGATTCGGGATGTTCGAATCATTTGACCTGCAACAGAGATTGGTTAGTAAATTTTGCTGAGTCCGAGAGGAGCATGGTGAAATTTGCTGATGAGAGCACCTCGAAGGTAGATGGAGTTGGTGATGTGGTTATCAAAAGGAAGAATGGCTCGCGTATCATTCTAACTGGTGTACTGTTTGTGCCTGCGATAAGGTACAATCTTTTGAGTATTGGCCAGTTAATTCAAAAAGGTTTTACGGTAGTAATGGGAGATTTCAATAAGGTTGAAGTGTTTGACAAAAAGAAGAACCTGATCTTGAGGAGTAAGATCTCGAAGGATAAAACTTTTCAGATCAACCTAGTGAAGTCTGCAATGAGTGAAGAATCTGGTGAGATCATTACTGATACATGGACTGGTGACGAGGAAGGTTTGGTGCATGTAGCTATGCTTGCATGCACAAACTCAATCGGTCAAACAGAGGATGAAGATATGTTTGCATGCGCAGAACCGATCGGTCAAATCGAGGCCTTGAAGAAGTCCGTGTGGAAGGAGGAAATCGTTGAACTGAATGCTACAAAAAAAGCATGGGGAGTCGGTGTCACTGGTGAAACGAGACATGGAGAACACCGTTCGGTCACGTCTTTCAATCAGGGAGTCATGGGAGAACCAAGATATTACGAACATTGTTCGGTCAAGTCATTCAGCCACACCCGACCTCAGCATTCATTCAACTGGCGTCACACAAGAGCGTCAAAATGGAAATCGGACTCAAACCGGTCGGTCATGTCACTCAGTCGCTCTTTCGAACCGTTCGGCCTTGTCTGCACAACTTACACAAGTTGGCGTCCGCCTTCGTCACGTGACTAGCAAGATCACACCGTTCGCTCACACATCGATCGGTCAAAACCGTTCGGTTGTCTCAATGCGATGCACGGGATAGGCTGGAAAGAATGGTTGCTTCCCCGCTAAGTGCTCGGCTTAGAGGGGAGTGTTGGAATTAAGCCGAGTTTGGTAGTTAGTTGGTCAGGACAGTTATTGATTAACTGTCCAGTTGTTTTTCATTTTATAAATATTGAACCTCTGTTCTTGTAAAGCATCTTTTTCTGAGATCAGTGAATAATACATTTTCTGTGCGTTTGAGTTTTACTCTCTTTCTCTGTTCATCTCCTTGATCGTTCGGTGTAAAGGTCTTAAACCGATCGGTTTTGTTCGTGTTCTTGTTGGGTCGTTCGGTCATCTACGTTGCAGAGTGTTTGGCTAGGGACGTTCGTTCTCCAGTCGCATACGACACTCATACCGTTCGGTTGTGACGCTAAGTGCAAATCCTTGGTTTTCCTTCTTTTTCCTAACAGTGGTATCCAGAGCTTCAGGTTCGTGATTGGGAGCTTCGTATTCATCTAGGGCTTGGCGGAAGCTTGTCAGAAAAGTGATTGAAGCATAAAGAAGATCAAGAGTGTGTTTCTTGGTTAAAGATCTAGGGTGTAAAGAATGGCCAACAGAGATATGTCTGTTAATCTACCTGTTCTCACAGACAAGAACTGGAGCAGATGGAGCACACAAATGCGTATCTTGTTTCATGTTCAAGATGTCAACAGCGTAATGGAGGGAGCAGTTTCTGCGTCTGATTTGTGCGGCACTGAGAAAGAGGAGTTTAAGAAGAAAGATGATAGAGCCTTGTTGATTATTCATCAGTGTGTGGACGATAAGCATTTTGAGAAGATACAAAATGTGGCTTCAGCAAGAGAAGCATGGAACATCTTGGTGGGCTATCATGCTGGAGGGGAAAAAGTGAAGAAAGTAAAGGTTCAGTCGTTGAGGAGACAGTACGAGCACCTACTGATGGAGGATGGTGATAAGGTGAGTGAGTTTTTCAGTAAAACACTCTCAGTTGTTAACCAAATGAAAAGCTGTGGTAACATTGTTACTGATCTCATGGTGATTGAGAAAATCATGCGGTCACTGCCCTCAACATTTGATCATATTGTGGTGGCAATAGAGGAGTTGAGAGACCTTGGAAAACTCAAAATAGATGAACTACAAAGCTCTTTGGAGGCGTATGAAATCAGGATGCATGAAAGAAATCCCATCAAACGCGAGGAGCAGGTTTTGAAGGCTCAACATGTAGAGAAGAAGGCATTCAAGAAATGGAAAGGGAAGAATGGTAAAGGGAAGTGGAGAAAAGATAGGAACAAAGATGATCATAATGAGTCTTCAACAGAGGATGAAGGCAAATCTTAGAAGAATTTCCAGAAGAAAGACAAAAGGAATATTGAGTGTTTTAATTGTCATAGGTATGGGCATTACGCTACTAAGTGTTATGCTGAAAAGAAAGAGCAGAAAAAGGATCAAGGAAAGGAGGCCTATGCAGCTCAAGTGGAGTCTGATTCAGAACCAATCATATTGATGACAACTACATCTGAAGTAAGTTCACCCTCTCAAGA